AGTGAATCTCTTCATTTTTACACATTATGTGAGATGCAGTTTATCTCATGTTTATTGCCCGGCTCTCTAGCGAAGTTGGTTAAACCTGACTTTCGCGGCGGCCGGGTGACGAACTCCTTGTGGTCCGGGTTCACTCCCGGGGGTAGGCAGAAAAGCCACATTTCTCCCAGATTTACGGTACCTATAATGGAATCAATGCCGAAGGGTTGCGATATCCATAGTACCGAGCCAAAGGGTTTACAACTCATGGTTTCTGGATACGTTAAAAAAAAAAAATCTTATGTTTACGAATGATGCAAAGAATTATGTCCCTTACTGCAGAAATCACATGTGCTAAAAAAAACGCACAAAGCCTAATTGTTGACATGATCTGTAGAAGAGCATTTTTTTTTCAATGCTTTTAGAAATCATTATTTGTTATCTGACTGGTTTGTCTCAATTGTGTCATGTTGCTTCTAAACAAATATGTCACAAATATGGCTGTGAAAATTAATAATGTTGTCAGGGTTTAGGCAAATATAAGACAGTTGCTGTGTTAAATGACAGTGTCATGAAGGTTCTGGGACCTAGATTCAATCCTCTGTCATGGGATGCTGTCATGGGGCAACAAATAAACATTTTAACCTGGTGATGACCGTACTAGCCATGTGGTCTTAAATGCTCAGTCTCACAACCCACCAGCTCCCCATTTTACAACACCCTAGAGCGGTAAATATGGGCAACAAAGACAGTCTAGGTCAAACAAGACAGTCTAGGTCAAACAAGGCAGTCTAGGTCAAACAAGGCAATGTAGGTCAAACAAGGCAATCTAGGTCTAACAAGACAGTCTAGGTCAAACAAGACAGTCTAGGTCTAACAAGGCAGTCTAGGTCACAAACAAGACAGTCTAGGTCAAACAAGGCAATCTAGGTCTAACAAGGCAGTCTAGGTCAAACAAGGCAGTCTAGGTCAAACAAGACAGTCTAGGTCAAACAAGACAGTCTAGGTCAAACAAGACAGTCTAGGTCAAACAAGACAGTCTAGGTCAAACAAGGCAGTCTAGGTCTAACAAGACAGTCTAGGTCAAACAAGACAGTCTAGGTCTAACAAGGCAGTCTAGGTCAAATAAGGCAGTCTAGGTCAAATAAGGCAGTCTAGGTCAAACAAGGCAGTCTAGGTCAAACAAGACAGTAGGTCAAACAAGACAGTCTAGGTCAAACAAGGCAGTCTAGGTCAAACAAGTTAAAATGGCTGTCACTAAATACTATGGCATGAGCATTCTAGGTGAAGAAGTGACAGTGGTTGCAATGATCTACCTGTTTTTATATTTTATAAAGATTCATATACATATGATATGTACATTTTACACAGTCATCTACATTCAGTATGTACAGTTAAATACATATATACACTTAATATGTTTAGACACAGAAATGACACATAAAAGTAGCAACCCCTACCCAGGTTTCTTTGTGCCATTTTGTAATACCCAGATACATCCCATTATTATTTATTTTTAAATATAGTTCTTCTGCTTCTTCTTCGCATTCACCAGCTGTACACTCTGGAGGAAAGTTCTGGTTGCTCGTCCACTACTGAACTGCAGTCCTGCTCCAGAACCTGAGTGTTGAGTGTGCATCAGTTTTACAGATCTCATTCTTTTGAATACAGACTGTTGGTTCCTTGCCTCTCCGGCAGATGCACTCCGACTTCAAAGGAAGCTCCCTAATTAATCGACTCTTACGACATGCTTTTGGGGAGGCAGTGGGTCTATTCTTGTTTTCCCCCACAATGGGGCCCCGGAACCCACACAGGGGTAAATATAGTTGAAAGCTTAAGCTACCTATTAGCTTTCACTAGCTAAAAACTCCAGCTGAAAGTTCTGGTTGTTTCTTCAATTCTGGACTTTGAGTTTTGTATGCACATTTGTTTTACAGACCTAGCTCATGTTATGCAGACTGCTGGATACTTTCCTCTCAGGCATATGCACTCCAACTCTGAAGAAAACACAGCTAATTAGTTGCCTAGTTTTAAAATGGTTGTTGGAAGGCAGTGGGTCTGTTCTTATTTTCTCTTTAATCAGGCCCAAGAATTCATATGGGGAAGTTGAAAGAAATGTATTGGATTTCTTATTGTTGGCATCAGAAGAGTAGCTCCTTGAGTCACCTAGTGTCAGACCTCCAGGTTGCAATACCAGAGGATATGAAGAAAAAAAAAATGAGGACAAATTCTCATAATTTTAGCGTGTTCATGCATTGAACATGCAGACACTCTAAGCATAAACACATATTTTACTAGAACATATATGTTCAGCGCTGTTGTAATAGACACTTTCTGGTGAGTACCAGCACTTGTGTGCATACTTGTTGGCATGTACCAGCACTTGTGTAAACACTTGTTGGCATGTACCAGCACTTGTTAACACACTTGTTGGCATGTACCGGCACCTGCTTCTCTAGCTAAGAATGTTTTACGTTAAAAAATTTTACTTGTCCAAAATCAATTGAGTTAAATAAACTCTGTAGCTTAGCGGTTATGAATATAGATTCATAATTCTAACATCCCAGGTTTAATTCAGCTACAGACAGTCCGGCAGCAGACCTAGCTAATGTAATTTTAACAACAGTATGAGCCATTAGCAAATAATGACCAGCTACTGAACCTCAAATTTCCTAATAAAACCACAAACAGACATCAAATGCTGGGCTTGATTTGTGATGACCTGTAAAGAATATGCAACTGAATTGTTAAAAATTAAGCTTGCTTATGTTCACTTATGGTTTTCTCCTAACACTTTAGAATTCAAAAAATATTCAACATCCCAAGCATCACGCTAAACTTGTTAGCTTTTTTTTTTTAACAATGTGAATATCTCAGTTATCCAGAACATAAAATGTATAGATTTATAACACTTACAATCTATAATACTTAACAACCGTAATCTATATACTTAACTTATAGTATGTTATACGTGATACTTATGTGTCTATCCCTTATAATCTGTTGTACATATTACTTGTAATCTGTTATATTCAACACTTATAATATGTTCGATTTCACACTTATAATATGTTCTATTTCACACTCATATGTTCAATTTAACAATTATTCTCTATTTAACACTTATGATATGTTCTATTTTTCACAAAAATGTTCTATTTAACACTTATAACAGGTTCTATTTAACACTTATAAGCTGTAACTCGACACTTATAATCTGTTATTCTGAAAGGACACAAACTGTCTATATCCCAGTTATAACCAAGAAGGACTGAACTGAATGTTTGTGATAAAATTATCACCACATATTATTTTCAAACAACACAAATGTTCCAGGCTACATCACATGTGGAAATGTTCCATTCACATGAAAAACCTGGTCAACAGGAGAATTTCCAACGATCCATAAAATCTTGTCATCAATAGCTCACTATTAGCTATCACATCAGACTACTAGTTTGTCTTTGATTTTAGCTCAACCTTGTGTCTCCAGTGGTGCTCTCGTCTCAGTGAATCCATTTGAACCAAACTTCCAGGAATGAGGCTAGTCAAGCAAATTGCTTGGAGAGAGTCTTTTGTAACTACTTGGCTGGATATGTATGTCTTCATGCCTGAAACAAAATCAAGTAAAAACCTAGTTAACAAACTAGGAACAAACAGAAATAAATGAATAAATTAATTAATTATTTGACATCACTGAACTCAGGGCATTCCCACATGTGCTTCCTCCTCTTCTTCGGCAGGGAGTGAAAAATTCCAGAATCCAATACTTATTACCTCAGCCGCAGACATTTCATGTCTGTATGTAATAATAATGTAATAACTCTACGTAGAACTATCATCAGGGAAGGCTCGCTCATGGGCCACTCAAACTTCCAAGACCTACAACAGATTGCAACGAACTGCCATGCGTGGAGAGTCATGACCTCTGCCCTATGTGCCGCACTCGACACAAGAGGAAAGACTAACTAACTAATGTAATAATAATCAAATATGACCCAATTTTTACTACAAATAATGTTGTCCCATAAATTTATTATTGAAGAGCCCTCAAAGCCTCACTAGCATCCAGAATGAAATTCTTGTGGTCTCAGGGTAAGTCCAACCTTCAGGTGGTAGACGAGAGGGGACAAAACAGACAGTGTCTTCAGAGGCAATAATTTCAGTGAGAACAGCTGATGAAATAATAAGTTACACATTTATGCTCAGTCTTACAAGGAATTCACAACCAATCAGTCAGTATGGCAATGAATTCACAAACACCCAATTAGCCAGTCTGGCAATAAATTCACAACCAACCAAGCAGTTAGTGTGTCAATGAATTCACAACCAACCAATCAGTCAGTATGGCAATAAATTCACCAACACCCAACAGCCAGTCTGGCAATAAATTCACAACCAACCAATCAGTCAGTATGGCAATGAATTCACAAACACCCAATTAGCCAGTGTGTCAATGAATTCAAAATCAACCAACCAAGCAGTTAGTGTGTCAATGAATTCACAACCAACCAATCAGTCAGTATGGCAATGAATTCACAAACACCCAATTAGCCAGTGTGTCAATGAATTCAAAATCAACCAACCAAGCAGCCAGTCTGGCAATAAATTTTCAACCAACCAAGCAGCCAGTCTGGAAATAAATTCCCAATCAACCAAGCAGCCAGTCTGGCAATGAATTCATAACCAACCAAACAGCCAGTCTGATAATGAATTTACAATCAACTAAACAGGCAGGCAGGCGAAATCTGAGCATTCAATGATGAAATCTAATGTTTCTTCTTTTGCATTCACCTTTAATGGCAAACCTTCAATGACTCACATTTATGGAACATTTGTTAAAGGACAGTGGGTTTATTTCTGTTGCTCTCAAAATGGGACCCTAGAACCCACATGAGACAATGAGATCATGAAACATTGAGATCATGAGATAATGAGACTAGGAGATCATGAGACAATGAGATCATGAGACAGTGAGATCATGAGATAATGAGACAATGAGATCTTGAGAACAAACTTACTTCTGAAGCTGCTCTACTGGAATGTCTGTGTCTGAGAACTTTTGTTTTCATAACTCCAAAATACGATCGCATTGTCGCAAAAGATGCACCACCTGCTTGATATGTCCTTCTGTAAAATGTTTTCCTGCTTTCAAAAGTAAACTCTGTTTTGGCATCACTGTGTTCAGTAACAGGATGATCTGGACAGGGGGAAAAAAGGCAACAAATTAATGCAAGAAATGTGTTTTCTAGTTGTGTTAGTTTGCATAACAGCAAAAGTAACCCTTACCCCCCTCTTTTTTCCTATTTTATAAACTTTTTTGTTTGCTTTTGGTTAAGTATCACTTTCAAATAGTGAGGACACAAACAATAGATTGCACAATTTATTGCCTGGCATATTCGGGTGTGTCTTGTCAAGAGCATTTCTAGAGTCTATGTCAGCACATAAAACATCAACCTTTCAACTGAACTAAATAAAGCTGACAATTCTTGACCTTTAATGTGCAGTGTAACAAGAAATGATGTGATCTGTGTATTATAATTTTTTGAAATAAGAAGAATAATATATTATTTAAAAAAAAAATTTTTCTTATTTGTTGTTGTATTTACTTTTCTTAGCTACTGACGGACCCCAGTCTACCTACAAGACATCAGGTTTGTATTTGTCTGATCTGGGCCTTATCCTTTCACCTACCCAATATGGGAGTCCCTACCAGTGGCCTTATCCTTTCACCTACCCAGTACGGGAGTCCCTAACAGTGCCCTTATCCTTTCACCTACCCAATACGGGAGTCCCTACCAGTGTTGACATAACTCTTGGTGTCAAGGCAAACTGTAGGCCTCTTCATCACAAAAACACAGAGACATATCTATGAATGAAATGATGCATCCACAGAGATTAGCTGCAACGGATCTTCAAGAATACCACATTCTCCTTTCCTCACCTTTTTGTCCACTCTGTCAAACTGCTATTGGCCCATCTCTTGATAGTATCCTTCCACAAATACCACAATGCCAGTCATCTTGTGCCATGCTGATAACTGTACACTACCATGTTTCACCATCTCACATGATCACCAGAATCACAGATCAGGTCAGTGTTCTTATCTCACCTCCATCTTTAAAGCTAAGCAATCCAAGTAATAATCTCTTCTCTTCCCCTTGCTCTTTTTTCTACCAATATTGCTGGTTGTAACCACGTTCTTCAGTATATTCTTCAAATAATATGTCCCAAAAACACCCAACTGTCTACGTAAAACTTCTCTTATCAGATCATGGTTTTCATATGTCTCAAGGAGGATGCCCTTGTACCACAGCCAATCTTTTGCTTACCTGTCATCTCTCATGTTTCCCCTACAGCAGGATTTTTTTTAAAGTTTCATACCATTTAATCTAGTATATAAAAGAATGCACAGAGATTAACACAAAACAGAAGTGAAATAATAAAATACAAACCATCTGCCAGGAAGGATCTCCTAGTTTTCGTGTGGGCTGTCTAAAGGGTCAAATGCCAGATTTAGAGAGCCTGACAAACCAGACGATGACTGGCTTGAGGCAGATGATGATGTAGAGCAAACAGAGATGATGGAAAGTGGTCGTTTGTTTCCATTTCTCAGGTAACTGCAGTTTGGGGATGTAGACAAATTTCCAGTACTAGCTGAAAACGACATAGAACATTATTTATAACCACAATGGATTCTTCATCATATGTTATGTTATTTTATCACAATCAACTTCATTGGATATTCCCATGTGTGCTCAGGCCTCCATTGTAGCAGCCACCCCAAGGTTACCTCTACTGATTATTATCATGAGAAGTTTTTTATAATGTTTCCTGTCTCAGCCTTAAAGGCAACATAGATGGGATTCACCAAGCTTTGTTCCCAGGTCATGCAATAGGCCTAGTGTCTGAGACTCGACATTATCCGTCATCAGTCTAGTCTATAGAACACTGATGATATCAGCTCTGTCAACACTTCCGCCATATGCAATGGGCATTATTTGCCAGTTGGTCTGCTCTTTCATTACTCCTTAATCCTGCATTCCCAGCTGTGTAGATCCATGTGAGAGAGCAAATATGACCTCCTATTGCTGTCTAAACATTCAGATCAAAGGCAGCTAATTATATTTTGTTTAAATATGGAATCTGATAGGATCACCACAAGTGTTGCTGCTTGTTCTACTGCCGATGTGAGGGCTCTAAAGGCATTCTGCAAACATATTAAAGTCTTCTTCATCTTCTTACTTTAATAATTATTGCCAGTGATGAAAATTTTGTTTTTCTCCACAGTTCTTCATTTGTGATCTTGTGTGGCCAGTACATTTGCAAGATTAACTTTAGACTTTTTTTTTTTAAATCTCTAATGTATGTGTAGTAACCACAGGCATTTTGCAAAACTCACTGTTGTATAGCTGTAATCCTAAAAATGTTGCTGCTGTATATTCTATTTTGTCTTCATACTAAGCTGTTTTAATTTCAAGAATTATAAAAACTCTTAAGAATGGGTGAGGTTAAATTAACAAATGTTTGGGCCAGAAAGTATGAAACGCTGGATACTTGACATGGGTGTGATCAGTATCTCACATGAAACACGGGATACCTGATGTGTGTGATCAGTATCTCACATGAAACACTGGATACTTGATGTGGGTGTGATCAGTATCTCACATGAAACACCAGATACTTGACATGGGTGTGATCAGTATCTCACATGAAACACTGGATACTTGATGTGTGTGTGATCAGTATCTCACATGAAACACTGGATACTTGACGTGGGTGTGATCAGTATCTCACATGAAACACTGGATACTTGATGTGTGTGTGATCAGTATCTCACATTGAACACTGGATACTTGATGTGGGTGTGATCAGTATCTCACATGAAAGACTGGATACTTGATGTGTGTGTGATCAGTATCTCACATGAAACACTGGATACTTGATGTGGGTGTGATCAGTATCTCACATGAAACACTGGATACTTGATGTGGGTGTGATCAGTATTTCACATGAAACACTGGATACTTGATGTGGGTGTGATCAGTATCTCACATGAAACACTTGATACTTGATGTGTGTGTGATCAGTATCTCACATGAAACACCAGATACTTGATGTGGGTGTGATCAGTATCTCACATGAAACACCAAATACTTGATGTGAATAGTATCTCACATGAAACACTTGATACTTGATGTGAATAGTATCTCACATGAAACACTTGATACTTGATGTGTGTGTGATCAGTATCTCACATGAAACACTGGATACTTGATGTGGGTGTGATCAGTATCTCACATGAAACACCGGATACTTGATGTGTGTGTGTGATCAGTATCTCACGTGAAACACTTGATACTTGATGTGTGTGTGATCAGTATCTCACATGAAACACCGGATACTTGATGTGTGTGTGATCAGTATCTCACATGAAACACTGGATACTTGATGTGGGTGTGATCAGTATCTCACATGAAACACTGGATACTTGATGTGGGTGTGATCAGTATCTCACATGAAACACCAGATACTTGATATGTGTGTGTGATCAGTATCTCACATGAAACACTTGATACTTGACATGTGTGTGATCAGTATCTCACATGAAACACTAGATACTTGATGTGGGTGTGATCAGTATCTCACATGAAACACTGGATACTTGATGTGTGTGTGATCAGTATCTCACATGAAACATTGGATACTTGATGTGGGTGTGATCAGTATCTCACAGGAAACACTGGATACTTGACGTGGGCGTGATCAGTATCTCACATGAAACACTGGATACTTGATGTGTGTGTGATCAGTATCTCACATGAAACACTGGATACTGGATACTTGATGTGGGTGTGATCAGTATCTCACATGAAACACTTGATACTTAATGTGAATAGTATCTCACATGAAACACTTGATACTTGACGTGTGTGTAATCAGTATCTCACATGAAACACTGGATACTTGATGTGATCAGTATCTCACATGAAACACTGGATACTTGATGTGTGTGTGATCAGTATCTCACATGAAACATGGATACTTGATGTGGGTGGGATCAGTATCTCACATGGAACACTGGATACTTGATGTGGGTGTGTGATCAGTATCTCACATGAAACACTGGATACTTGATGTGTGTGTGATCAGTATCTCACATGAAACACTGGATACTTGACGTGGGTGTGATCAGTATCTCACATGAAACACTGGATACTTGATGTGGGTGTGATCAGTATCTCACATGAAACACTGGATACTTGATGTGGGTGTGATCAGTATCTCACATGAAACACTGGATACTTGATGTGGGTGTGATCAGTATCTCACATGAAACACTGGATACTTGATGTGTGTGTGATCAGTATCTCACATGAAACACTGGATACTTGATGTGGGTGTGATCAGTATCTCACATGAAACACTGGATACTTGACGTGTGTGTGATCAGTATCTCACATGAAACACTGGATACTTGATGTGGGTGTGATCAGTATCTCACATGAAACACTGGATACTTGATGTGGGTGTGATCAGTATCTCACATGAAACACTGGATACTTGATCGGTGTGTGATCAGTATTTCACATGAAACACTGGATACTTGATGTGGGTGTGATCAGTATCTCACATGAAACACTGGATACTTGATGTGTGTGTGATCAGTATCTCACATGAAACACTGGATACTTGATGTGGGTGTGATCAGTATCTCACATGAAACACTGGATACTTGATGTGGGTGTGATCAGTATCTCACATGAAACACTGGATACTTGATGTGTGTGTGATCAGTATCTCACATGAAACATTGGATACTTGATGTGGGTGTGATCAGTATCTCACATGAAACACCAGATACTTGATGTGGGTGTGATCAGTATCTCACATGAAACACTGGATACTTGATGTGGGTGTGATCAGTATCTCACATGAAACACTGGATACTTGATGTGGGTGTGATCAGTGTCTCACATGAAACACTGGATACTTGATGTGGGTGTGATCAGTATCTCACATAAAACACTGGATACTTGATGTGGGTGTGATCAGTATCTCACATGAAACACTGGATACTTGATTTGTGTGTGATCAGTATCTCACTAGCCACATTTACTTTTTTTGATATTTTCCTAGTATCAAATTGAAGATGGGTCAGCCTTGGAACCCACGTACAGTTTTAAAAAATCTGCCTTTCTGTGAATTTGTGTCCATGGTAACCAGATTTGTTTTCTATTTACTCTTAAAAGGGCAAGTGGCATGCTGTGTTGTGGTTAACAGCTAGGCTGTGATATATATGCCTTTCTGCCCAATGCATTTGATTTCTTTGCAAACTCCCAGCTGGTTGCCTTTCATGTCATGCTTGCTGGGGACAGTGGGTCTATAATTTTTTTTTTCGAAATTTAGTCCCAGAACCCAGATAGTAATGCAGTGAAATAAAACCAAACACATTACTGTAGTAGACTTCCGAGTGTTAAACTACGAGTGTAACAGTGAGGTTAGCCATTAGTCGGTAAATGTTGATCCATCATTATGACAAACCATAACCCCATAATTGCTCAATTCCTTTGCCAGTGAAAATCCCTCATAATGCTCTTCACTGCTCCATTTGAAAACTAGTAAAAACAGATCAGTTCCAGTCAATCTGGAAGCATGTACACACAAAGTAAATGCTTAAGGCAGCAGCCAGATGTGCCAACACGGACAGTCCACCACTAGAATTGCAATTCACTGTTGACGGAAGTAGTCAATCACAAAGACACCAGTATTTGCACAGGCAATACATACTGCATAAGGCACATGCCTGTATGGGCATAACCAGCCACCCACCATGCTCAGTGAGGTTCACAACACAAAACTGCTGCAGTACAGACAAAATAAGCATTTAACTATTAAGTGTTGTAAGCCACAATTGCAATTCCCAGGATCTACAAATAAACTCCAACCACAGTGAACAAGAGTCTGAAAATGAACTAACAGTTTTCAAGCATGAGGAAAAATGGTTTAACCACTTGTTTTAATAGAAACAAGAAATTACCTTCTTTATTTGCTGCTAAAATACTGACTAAGTGATCCTCTATGTTGTCCTCAGTGTGTTTGATTTCAAGACATGGCCTGGTACCAATGCCATTTGTTGCTTGTTCAATAATATGAGATTCTGCAGAAGAATCAGTAAATTATTTCCCTGTGTCTGAATTGCTAACAAAATTTACTAAGTATACATAGTAACAAAACTGCACAAATTGTCAAAGAATGTTAACTAGATATGGCATAAATTAAATCAGTATTGCTTAATGGACAAAAAAAAAAAAAAAAGCAATGAAATGGGACACAAATGGACTGGGGAAAGAGAAGCCCTGAAATGAAGGGTGGTGAGAGGCAGGCAAACTGTGGGGACTGTAGTCTTTATGTGATCAACATCAAACCAACCACCATAACATCCCAGCATATTTTCTGGTAGCCATGTTGAGTCTGGGTCAGTGTGGAAGCCAGGGTTATTGGTAAATAATCTGCCTCTGGTCAGGCATCAAGCAGTTGCACAAACATGGCTCCCACTATTTCACAGACTTCCATGAATACATTTATCATTATATCTAAACACAGAGATAGGGTTTCTTGGACAGAATAACATAAAAATGGGGTTGTCAGATAGAAAAATAACACACACACACATGTGGTTGTCAGACAGAAAATAACATACATATATGGTTGCAACATAGAAAAAAAAATACACCCATGGTTAGACAGAAAAATTACAGCAAAATGAGATTGTCAGATAGAAAAACAACACAAAGATATGTTTCACAGGTATAGGGTGATCAGACAGAAAAAAATAACAAAAAAATTGAGTCGTGAGATAGAAAAACCACACACAGTGAGAGATGATCAGTTACAAAATAATAAAATAAAACAATATATAGATGCAGTTTTCAGAAAAGTAATACAAAGATGGGATTGTTAAAAGAATAAGAAACACAAATGGGGTTGTCAGATAGAAAAGAAGACTTACACATTACAATCACTTCAAATGCAAAGACTAATAAACTACCTCTGTTATGAATTGCTTGTTTCCAAAGCAAGTTTGACAGAACTTTGACCCAGGCATTTTTCATTTCCAAATTGGCAGCTTGAAGAACATACGTTTCACGTAACGATCTTCGACGGAACCAGATTTCAAACTTTAATTCACTACTGCCGTAGTTTTCTGTCATACCAATGTCTGATGTCTGCAAAGAAAATGTCAAATGTAGAAAACTACTGGCTAAGGCAACAAAAGCAAAAATTTAAGAAACACAATATTTTGAGTACATCACCATCAAGTCTTATGCAGAATGCTTCTCTCATTATGGCATACTGGAAAGGCACTCTATCCCCTGCCAACTTTTACATCTCATGATCTTTCACACTGGGGTATCCTTACTATCCTGTGTCCACCATTGTGCTGGTTGACCCTTGCAGAATTTTTTGAAATCATGTACCGACTCCAGTCCAGCACCTCTGGTCTTAATAATTTGTGTTTTTTTAGGGGTTTCTCTTGAACATACTCATTTCCTCAGTCCATTTATTTCCCGTTTCAGTTCCTGTTTTATTTCTCTTTGTTAGTTTCAAAATGAGCAAAATAAACTACCCTCTTCGTTCTATTACAACTGTTGATACCAGAAGTTCTAGAGAGGGTTCCCTCATTTCTTCACCTTTCATTCACCCCATTTAATATTTATCAGACATTTGCTTTTGAATGCACTCTTCTTCTTCTTCTTTGTATTCAGTTTCGTATGCTCAAGTCATATTGTCAGGTGGGCTGCTTTCATGAATTTGCATGTCAGTTGCAGATCCTGCATGGTTCCCCATAGCTTGCTCTGCACTCTCTGCTCCTGAGGCCAGGTTTTTCTATGTAGCCGTAAGTATCATGGGCAGGTCTGCAGAACGTGCTCAGGTATTTGTGGTCCCATCTGACAAAGACTGATGGGACTATATAGACTTTATTTTATGCATGTGGTAGTTAAGCATGCAGTGTCCTTCCTGTCTTTAACTTTTGTTCCATGCATTAAATAATTCTCCAAATTTCACTGGCTTATTTTAGAACTCAAATAATTTTGGAACAGAAAATAACTTGGCTTCACTTACTTTAAAACTGGTTTTATAAATGTAGATATCATGTTGCCCTTGTTGACCTTTCTTAGTTTTGCTGAACAAAATGAGATCTTCAAACAGAAATACCCGCCTCATAGATTTTTTACGGCCATGGAGAACAAGAAACTCTTCTTGCCGCAGAAGTCTGCCTTGTTCTTGAATATTGACCTGGAAAAAAATTGAAATCTCACAGCTGTAGTCAACATGATTTGAAAAATTATTACAGAAATATCACAGATGAAATCTTCATGATCTGCAAGATAATAGAAATTAACTTTCATGGTCTAAAAGATAAAAGAAATAGCATTGATTTAACCTTCATGATCTGAAAGATAATAGAAATATGATAAGTTGATCTAAAAAATAATATAAATATTAGATTTAACCTTCATGACCTAAAAGATCATAGGAATATCACAGGCTTAACCTTCTTGATTTAAAAGATAATAGAGGTATCAAAGGTTTAACCTGCATGGTCTGAAAGATAATGGACATTTCAGGGCTGTAAAATCCAACCACTAATGAACAGGTCTGCACAAGACTTTGCATAAGTTTGTTAAGCCTGCCACTGTGTAAATCCAGCATTTCCATTGTTGCCACATTGTCATAATGGCAGCAAAAGCAGTGACCTATTTCTGAGAAGCTTAATTTCACATCACTGATTCTATTCACCCCTGCACAATGTTTAGAAGGCCTGGATATGAATATATTTACTTTTTTAAAATAACATGGGGGATTCTTGTGGAGCAAATGGCTTTTTTCAAAGCAATGTTGACATCAAATTTTCACAGAGCTTTAGTGGTAGAGATTACATGGTCACAGCATAAGTCACACAATATATATATTCTTTGTGTTAATGGGAACCAAAGAATGTGTATCCATCTAATGTTTCTCCTGTTCAAGTTTGCTGATTTCTCCCTTTATGTGTTTGGAAAAAATATAATAAATTTGTCTTTAATTTATTAGTGACCTGGGAATTTTTGGAGAAATTCCTATGGGTTCAAGACCCATTTTTAAATGTTCATGGAGTGAAAGAGATAAGTACCTATACTGCCAAAAGGCACAAGAAGAAGATATTAAGAGAGCACTAATGGCTGCCCTTTCACATCTGTATACTATTGAGGTATATAATGTGTGACATGTCACATTGGCAGGACAGACTTACTGTTCCCCTGACCAACAGTCTGCACACAAGTAAGATCGGTAAAATGGATGTACATGCAAAACTCAAGTTCTGCAACAAGACTAAAGACCAGAAGTAGACGAAAAATCAAAAATTTCTATTGGAGTTTACAGTTGATCGACGTTAAGAAGAAGAAGAAGAAGTAGAAGAAGAAAAGTCTAAACAGCCTAATCTCTGAGCAACAGAGCTCACCACATAAAATACATAAATAGACAAAATTACTTTTGAAACATCAAACACTTACATCACAGTTTCTGAGAGAATCCATGGCCAGCAAATCATTACCATGTCGAAGCTGAAATCTGACCATTTCTTCTGCAGCCTGAAAATACATTTAGCAGGGATTTTTATGAAAATCTGTTTGTGATAGACAAGTTGTCAAACATGTCAAGGAAAGAAATGAGTCCAGTTTTCTTCAGAATTATATTATGGCACATTTTAGATTTTCAAGCTCTCTATTACCATTTACTTTAGCAAGGGCTTTATAATCTTCTCCTCCTTCTTCTTCTTTGCGATCACCGGCTGTAAACTCGGGCCGACTGACTGACTGACTTTCTACCCCACCAGAACATCACACAAGGGATAAACACCTGATGACACAAAGTGCCACCATGCGGATGAGGATCACCATGGAGAGGTCCCAGAAACCGTGTTCAGACAATTGGCCATATTTATAGCCTGCCTATATTGCGGCCCCTGGCAAAAGCCAGAGTGGGGCTTCAAATAACAAAAAATTACGTCCTAAGAAGGTTGTAACGAATACTAACTCGGGTCGAAAGCCATATAATAAATATGTGCATGTATGTGCAAGTAAATACATACACACAAATAAATATATTATACACACTTATAAACATATAAACTATCTAAACAGACACTTACACTCATTTATCCATGAATACATTAATTCCCTCTTGGGGGTGTGCTTGCACACGCACACACACACACACAAAAAAAACTCATCCATTGTTTGTTCCATCTATTCATTAACTCTCTCTTCCTTTCGCACACATATAGTCAAACAAATTCTCTCCTCTTTGTGTTTTTGTCTATCTTATCTCCCTTGCCCTGAACCTTCCAGTGAAAGATCATTTTATTTATGCCAATACCAGATTCACACAATGTATTATTATAATATTTCATTATCCCCTGGCTCCCATCCTGGGGTGGAGAAAGGAGTAGAATCCACTCCCCCCCCCCCCCACTCCTCCAACAAGCATGTCAGAAAAGTTGACTAATTAGGGCTGTTTCCTTTAAAATCATAGTGCATCTGCCTGAGAGGCAAGGAACTAACAGACTGTGTACAACTAAGTTAGATCTGTAATGTGGATGTGCATACAAACCCAAGTTTTGGAACAAGATTAAAGTCCAGAAGTGGATGAACAACCAGCACTTTCTGTTGTAGTTTATAGGTGATGAACATTATGAATAAGATATTCCACTTTATGTAGACATCTATAAAAGTGTTAAAAGAGGAAGATCTACTTTATCGTACCAGGTATATTCTCTATGAAGTTTCTCTCCACTGAGCCTGTTGACACAGAGTCCCAGCGGCAACCTCAGGGATCTCGAAAACTCCCACAATTGTGACTTGAAGGCTGGAGTCAGAAACTGAACTCATGAATTTTAAAGCGCAAAGCATGTGGCTTAACCACTTCAGCTCAGTTAATGGCTTAACTACTTCAGGACAGTTACTGGCTTAACCACTTCAGCACAATTACTGGCTTAACTACTTCAGCACAGTTACTGGCTTAACCACTTCAGCACAGTTACTGGCTTAACCACTTCAGCACAATTACTGGCTTAACCACTTCAGCACAGTTACTGTGGCCATACTTCATGTAAAAAGTAAAAGTTCCATTCATCTTTGACTTATCAAGCATATAGTGCTAATCCAATTATGTCACTGATCACCTGGCACTCAACTGGTGATGTGATCAACATCGCACCAGGCACCGTTACTTCCAAATTTTATAATAGGCTGACCTCTGAGCCAAGGTCAGTTTTGAAAACATTCTCAGATTTGAACCCTAGATATTCAGGCCAGTAGGCGACAGATAATTTATACATCTCTAAAAACAATAACCCTACCTTTAAATTAGAGTACTCCAGTTGTGTCTCGGGGCACTCCTTCAACAACTGTTTCAGCAGTAGTGCATACTTGCCCATCCGTTGGACAGGTTTCAGCAGGTAGCTGGACAAATCCATTTTATCTCCAAGTTCTAACTGCTTCTCCTGGTATCAGAAAAAAAAATATATTAAATAAAAAAATTAAAAGAGTTTCTATACATACCAAAACATTCATTTATGTATTTCAATATTTTCTTATTACATACATTTATTTTGTTTGTGTGCTTCATCTGCTCTAAAATATGGTTTGATTTTTGGGGGTTAGGGATCAGTTTAAATCAATCAATCAGGTGCTGTTTCCACAGAGAAAGTTGGCTGCAATGGAATTCCAACATGCCAGGTCTCTCATCTTGGTTGTAGACTCTTCAAACTGATGTTGGTTCATCTCTTGATATTGTATTCCCACTTGTATTGCTGTCTGCCTCTTACTCTCTTGCCTTCAACTTTTCCTTTTGCATGACTTCTTAAAGAGTGTAATGTTGTTTAAAACAGCTAAAATACTTCAGTTGTTTACCTCTATAAAAGGCTCCATACATAATCAACCCCAACACCTTTGGGCTGGCAATGAAGAACCTAGCCACTGCACTACTATGGTTCCCAATAATGATTGATGATTTGATTTGATTCAAGAACCGACATCACAGCACTCGGAGCATTCAAATAAGCGCTCCGTCCCCATCATCAGCAGCCGGCAAAGAGTTCTGGTACTAATGGTGCCAGTAGCATTCTGATTAAACTTTCCCAATAATGAGTGTAACATAATTATAAGGTAGCCAGCCATGGTGTAGCAGCTAGAAGCTTATGTGCAAACCCGAAGGCTGTGGGTTCAAATCAGCATATAGCAGGATTTTTTTTCAACAATGACCTTGTCTCCCAGGTCGACTCAGCCTAAAATGGGTAGCAGGTCAAGTCCTGGTAAAGTCCTGGTAAGAAAAGCTGGCTGATGAGATGTGGATCACATCACCCATTAAGTGCTGATTAGTCTAAAAATATTAGTGTACCCAATAAGCCAAAGGGTGTTGAAAAAGGGTCAGATGTATTACACACAAAAAATAAATCAGCATAAGACAGTGAAAGAATAAGGACATTGAAAGAGTAAGAATAGACAAGACAAATATTATTTTAAAATTCAGTACAATACATCCATTGTGAAACAAAAAGGCATAATTTTTCTCTTCTGTCTTATATTGGCCATTGAACCATAAGTCCTCAACCAACCCATGCTAAGACCCATATTTTGCTATCTCCTGCAAATTCCTACATTTTCTCCGTATGTCTTCATTGCCCCTGTGATTTGTTTGTTTGTTCTGCACTGTTATAACTTAGCTGCAATAGTTGCCCTTTTTAGCATACACACCACATTTTAAGTGCTGATTTCATGCCAATATGTTACAACCTCATTTATGATTTTCTCTTCTGGAAACTACCGTGGCATTTCTCAGACAGCTGATGTCTCTTGTTACTTTGGTCATTTATTTGACCAGACCAGCCTTTGCAAAGTTCTCCTGTATTATGAATCTTTTTTAATTATCTTCTTGTTTTAAGGTTTCCCTCTATTTAATTTAACGAGTAGTTTCCAGGAAAAGGACTTCTACGTAATCTATTAGAATGTTTTCTCAGGGTCTTCTATTTCTTTAATTTTTAACAAATGTGCATATTTTTGACAGGACATTGTAAACCAGGCCAACGTTTACCAGCTGTCTGTGGTTTTACTCTGTAAATTTATGTTCAGTGGTTTGCTACTCCTTCTGACCAGTCGATGCTTGATACTTTTGTAGAAATTACCCAAAGCAGTCTGCTTTCTAATCTCCTGCAGCTAAATTTGAACTGGGTATTATAGAGTCATGAACCACATGACAAGCCACAGACAACAACATTCTATCACTCAACACATCAACAATTGAGAGAATAAAGTAGACGAGCATACCCTGAAAAACTGTTTGCCACAGTCCATCATGAGGCAGTCTGACTTTGGTTTATTCTTGTTGTATAAGGCATACAGGTTAAACATGGTCTCCTGTGAAAATTGATAAAACAGTAGAACAGTCAAATACTGGCAAAAGTAAAGCATAAAAAATGTTTTGTCTTTAGGTGCTCAATAATCAAGAAAAAGGCAAGATGAATACACAATCAGACTGTTACTGGTAGCATGAAGATTGTATCTCTGGGTTTGCTGCTGATGGTGGGGATGGAGCGGTTATGGGAATGTCTCAAGTGTTGTGATGTTGGTTCTTAATTCAACATTTACGTTTTATCTTTATATGATAAAATGAATGCACAATGAATGATCAGCTCACTTGCTAGAGAACTAGATTGTGTCAGTTGCCAGGGACTTATAGATGCAGAAGAAACAAGTAAAAACAGGAGAGCATTAAATCAGAGCTTTCTAAACTTTGTGTTGCGACACATGAGTGTGTCAACTGCAGCGTGAAAGTGTGTCAGCTGCAGTGTGAAAGTGTGTCATATGTAGTAAATTTATGCAGATGTCTGTATGTGTTACAAGGGGTTAGTTTTAGCTCTTGTTTGCTTTTAGACTAAATTACTGTGTTGCTAAATTATGTTTGTCTACAAAGTGTGACCCCAATATGAAAATGTTAGAAAGCTCTGCTTTACATAATGAAGAAGAAAGAAGTAGAGACAGGAATGGTATTTCAAGATTTACATGTTTATGTTGTTCTCTATCTTTCCTTCTTAACATCCACTGGCTGTAAACTATAGGCGGAATGTTTTGGTTGTTCATCTACTTCTGGACTTTAATATCTTATACCAGAACATGAGCTTTGCCTGCACATTCATTTCATAGATCTGGCTTAATTGTGTGCAGACTGATAGTTCCTCACCACTCAGGCAGATGCACTCCAACTATGAAGGATATGTGCCTAGAAAAACTGTGATGACCCTGCTTTGCATGGTCTCCACGATTACATTGTGGCAAGTAGAAAGTCCGTGCTATAGTGACAGCACGAGATACTTGTGGCTAGTCGAGTAAGCGAGGGAAAGCCCGAGCTAGCCTCGTGGTGAATTGATCAACAGAAGTCGTGGAAGACGGTTGCATTTAGTTGAAGATGTAGTCTTTATGTCGCACGAATGACTAGTGTTTGAAGATGTCGCGAGTGATAGAAGTCTGAATAATTGTTGAAACATGTGGAATAAATGTAACTGAATAAACTGACAGCATGTACAAAGAAGCTGAGCGGCGTTGTATTATTAAACCTAGACGTGAGAGCAGTGTGGATTAATCATCCAGAGAGTGAGCCATGGCGAGAGGAGATTTGTCGTAAGACAAGGTGCATGTCGAGTGACGTCGGCCTAAACAAGGTTCATTTCAAGTCAAACCAAGGTTCATCCCACAAACATATTTTACAACATACTTTATTTAGTGGAGTAGTGGGTCTCTTCCTTTTTACCCCAAAGCTCGAGAATCAACAAAGAGAGGATCAATGCCAGACTAGTTTGCTGTAATCTGTTTTAACCTACTACTCTTGTTGCCTTTTGAAAGATATAAAACATAACTTGCCAATAAAAGATCTCAGTTGCAGTGAGGTAACGATAGTTAAAGTGCTATATAGAACCTTAATTGTTATGTACATGTGAGACATGAACATTTGACAGGATGTGAAATCTGACGCTGAAAGAGACAAACAATATTTAACTAAGATTGTAAGCACGTACTGAACGTATAGAATAAAAGTTAAATGAAGCTTTCAAAAATAAATAACTGAGGAAACTCATCGACAGATTAGATGAATTCAAGAAAGATTCAGAAACCACAGAAATGTCTGGACACATCAACAGTTATGAAGAGAATGAAGATTTCAATATACTGTATGATGAAGCAGTCAAAGATTGCAAAATAGAACAATGAAGGCATAGAAGAGAAACCATACAAAGGAATATTGATAAGAGCAAGTGGTGATGTTGAAGAGAAACCCATAAAACACACCAGATTGAGAGGACAGGTGTCAAACTTTATTCCATGCACAATATTAAAAGAAATGTTAGGACATGATAATAGAATGAATTAATTAAATGTATAATTAATGTTTAGCTAAGATGGAAAGAAGTATTACTAACATGCTGTAGAAAATACTGGCCCACAAGGAATGGATGGTTCTCGCACATTTCCAGATGTGTCTTGAAATACAAGCTGTGAAACTGATAGATTTTTTCCAAGTTTCCGAAGATCACAGCCCCCTTCCCACGAAGAATCTGAGGAACATCGTCTCTCCGCAGCTCTGGCATATACTGTTCCAGTATGAACTGTAATGCTGTCACATAGTCCCTTTCTGTCTGTATGATTTCTGACATGATCAGAGACACTCTTCTGAAAATAAGAAAGTAAATTACATTTTTTTTTTTTTAGGTTTTGAAAAGTTGCCTTTCCTCACCAGGCAATTCACGGAAAATTCTGGAACTTTTCAGTTTTATGAGACTGGGTCTTTTTGTCTTATTCCTCTTTTTCCATAAAATGGTAGAAGAAATGTTTGTGTTTGCAGCTCGGCTGTGATATCTGTGCCCTTTTAGCAGAACACACACTTTCAGCAAAACTTCACTTAGTGACATTTTATCGTATGCTTGCTAAGGGTCAGTGAGGTTACCCCCCCCCTTCCTCCCCAAATGAGGCCCCTAAACCCCACACGTGGAAGACTTCCGGCAACCACCCACTCATTGCACAGCACACTGCTTGGTTGTTCTGTTGACCTGACTGGCGTCCTTTTCTGCAAGTTTCTGTAGCTATGAAGAAAATCTTGTGGTAAGATAGCTTGCACAAGCTCCCCCTCCTTTGTCATCCAGGCTGGGGACTGGCAATGTGCTGGGCTGAACTCAGAAATCGAAAGAGTTGTATGCAATAGAGCGGAGTGGAGGAATCGAATATGAGCCACATGTGATGTCTAATAACACAAAAAGGATGATGATGATAACGTTTCCCCACTGCGCTTCTAACCGGTTTAAAACCCATGCGATTTAGGTCAATGACTTTTTTTTCTGGCTGCATGCAGTACTGGCACCTCTTAATAAGCCTCCATTTTTTTTAGCACTACTGTGGTAGATTCTTTGTGGTGAATACCGCCATTTTATTTTAGCTTTTTTTTTTTTCTGATTTCATAAAAAAATAGGATTTGGGTAGCATCATGGATGCACATCTTCCGTACATAATACACAAATGTTAATGAATGTTATCCAAAACCCTCCCCAACCTTACTTTTTGAATGAGCTGCCATCTAATACACATAATATTGACAATTCATATTTTAAGCATGTACAATTTTATGTTTGTATCTTCGTTACTGGCTGAGGAAAAGTGCATTGTGTGGTACATGAACAATCAAAGACGCATGGGAAGCAAGTGAAAAAATAATCATCAGGTTTTGTAAAATGTGTAGATAAAGGTAGTTCCATTGCTACTACCTTTGGGATGTAGCAGCTACTGCCTTTGAGATGTAGCAGCTACTACCTTTGAGATGTAGCAGCTACTGCCTTTGAGATGTAGCAGCTACTACCTTTGAGATGTAGCAGCTACTACCTTTGAGATGTAGCAGCTACTGCCTTTGAGATGTAGCAGCTGCTACCTTTGGGATGTAGCAGCTACTGCCTTTGGGATGTAGCAGCTACAATCTTTGGGATGTAGCAGCTACTGCCTTTGAGATGTAGCAGCTACTACCTTTGAGATGTAGCAGCTACTACCTTTGAGATGTAGCAGCTACTACCTTTGGGATGTAGCAGCTACTGCCTTTGAGATGTAGCAGCTGCTACCTTTGGGATGTAGCAGCTACTGCCTTTGAGATGTAGCAGCTGCTACCTTTGAGATGTAGCAGCTACTGCCTTTGAGATGTAGCAGCTGCTACCTTTGGGATGTAGCAGCTACTACCTTTGGGATGTAGCAGCTACTGCCTTTGGGGTGTAGCAGCTAGTGCCTTTGGGATGTAGCAGCTACAACCTTTGGGATGTAGCAGCTAGTGCCTTTGGGATGTAGCAGCTAGTGCCTTTGGGATGTAGCAGCTACAATCTTTGGGATGTAGCAGCTACTGCCTTTGGGATGTAGCAGCTACTGCCTTTGGGATGTAGCAGCTACTGCCTTTGAGATGTAGCAGCTACTGCCTTTGGGATGTAGCAGCTACTGCCTTTGAGATGTAGCAGCTACTGCCTTTGAGATGCAGCAGCTACTGCCTTTGAGATGTAGCAGCTACTGCCTTTGGGATGTAGCAGCTACAACCTTTGAGATGTAGCAGCTACTGCCTTTGGGATGTAGCAGCTACAACCTTTGGGATGTAGCAGCTACAACCTTTGGGATGTAGCAGCTACAACCTTTGGGATGTAGCAGCTACTGCCTTTGAGATGTAGCAGCTACTGCCTTTGAGATGTAGCAGCTACTGCCTTTGGGATGTAGCAGCTACAACCTTTGAGATGTAGCAGCTACTGCCTTTGGGATGTAGCAGCTACAACCTTTGGGATGTAGCAGCTACAACCTTTGGGATGTAGCAGCTACAACCTTTGGGATGTAGCAGCTACTGCCTTTGAGATGTAGCAGCTACTGCCTTTGAGATGTAGCAGCTACTGCCTTTGGGATGTAGCAGCTACAACCTTTGAGATGTAGCAGCTACTGCCTTTGGGATGTAGCAGCTACAACCTTTGAGATGTAGCAGCTACTGCCTTTGGGATGTAGCAGCTACAACCTTTGGGATGTAGCAGCTACTGCCTTTGGGATGTAGCAGCTACAACCTTTGGGATGTAGCAGCTACAACCTTTGGGATGTAGCAGCTACTGCCTTTGAGAGGAGAAGTGTTGTCTTCACATATTCTAGGTTATGGTGACAAGTTTCCTATAACTGCCTTCTATCTGTATAGTCAAGTTAAGGACCCTTTACCCTTTACCATACTTGAGTGTATTGGGTAAATAATCATGAGTCAAGCTTCCATCATCATCATTGCACACAGATCACCCCATGACCGCTCTGCTCCTGTGCCAGTAGAAATCACATACAACATCTGTCTTCACTGTCCCATGTGAAAACTGGTG